ATACTGTGGCGTATTTTAAGGGGAAAATTAGGGAATAATATAGAGATAATATATTTCCCTTTGACCATTTTTTAGTATATCTATTATTAATTGCGTTTATATGATCACCTGATTTTTGAGTTCAAAATGTGTATTTACTTCTTAGACTGCGGGAATATCACAAACGTGTTGGTACCTAATTATATTAGTATACCGAAACATCCCGAACGTATAATCACACGTTCTTCGATATGACACCATTTCCAAATTAAATATCTCTCTCCACCGTCAAATCCTGAATACGCCACTGCAAACACATTATCTTCTTACGGACATTTATTTCGATCGAAAATAAAATAAGTACCGATAATGTCGGAAGGTTTATTGACCCGATACTCATTCAAAGTGAAATAAAATGTCGTTTCGTTTATAATCGTATTTAAATTTGACCAATGTTCTTTGCAGTTGGTATTCCGTCGCAGGCTCTCTCTATGTAATACGAAATCCGATAAAAGCTGTTTGTGACAAATTTTATTTTTTTATGAAAAGTCGATCAGAACGTCGAATGACCGTCTCACTTAACTTTTACATCAGTTATCTATACTACGGTAATGCAAATGGGTGTCCTATTACCATTGTTTGTTATTATTTTTATTTTTAATAATATAACAAAATCAATAATGAAAAATAACATTAAACAAATATGTAAGTATACGTTTTTATATACCTATAATAATTCCATTATGAATAATGCTCGATTTACTATAATGATCACCGTGTTAATACAGCTATATTATATTATATTTATATTAACAAATTGATGCTTATCGAGTTTCTCATAAAACCGTTTTTATTATTATTATTCTTAACAGCGCTCTCCAAATCGATCAAGTAAATAACCGAATATGTCAGTTACTCAATGGAATAATCAGCTACAGCCGTGCGAACGCTCTTTTTTGTTGGCTATAAGGTAATTATTACCAATTATTACTCAAAAATTGTACTATACAATTTCTTCTTTTTCTTCTACCTCTTCGTCTTCGTTTTCTTCGCTTTTTCCCCCGACTATTTAGAATGGTAAACGAAAAACTGGTGCGGTCATTATTAACACGGAATACTGGTATACGGTCCTCAACAATCGAGGATTCTGAAAATGTAAACATAAAATAAGGAAAAATCATAATAAAAAATACATCGCAAGACTACTAAATACACAAAACACAAATAATGCGAGAGCTAACGATTATTTTGATAAGTAAACCTTTATACCTACTTCTTTAAAAATAAAAAATAAAATTTAATCCTTAATCTATCCACTTCTACAGTTACTAGCCATTACTCATTCGCTAATTATTCGCCTCAAATTAATTTATGATAGCTGGAAAAAATAATCACCCATTATCCTAGGAGAGCTTTTTTTTATTGAAACCGCAGTAGGTACGTTAGTAGCGACGGCTGACGATGACGTGTGTAATGTTCACGGCTCGTTGTTTGTTCTATAGAATTGTATTCTTTACGCGAGTGACATATTATATACGAATTGTCTGTGGTTCCAAAATTTTAAAATGACTTTGCACACGCATAAATAATATATTATAATGCCTAGCACCAGACACCCACGATATTGTCTTCGTCGGTCTAATGTTAGACGACCCAAAAACGTATTATTACATATGAACAAACAACGTAATTCGTATTTTTCTTCTTTTCTTTTTTTTTTTTTTTGGAAAATGAAATATTCATGAAGAGAGCTTAAAACTGTTTGATGGGAGGAGGGGGGAGTAATTCGTTAAACATTTTATTTTTTTTCTAGTTTTTTGTTTCTAACAATTTCCACGATATCCACTACCGTGCATTAAATTTAAAAAACAAAAAAATCGAGTATATTTTGTTTTCGATTTTTGATTCAGGGGTCTGTAACCATTATTTAGAGTATATTTGTGAACACCAAACTATATTTTATCCGAAAGAAGAATTGCACAGAAAACGAACGATAAATAATCATCAAAAATAAGACCGACAAGATCAAAACAATAATAATGTACCAGTAGGTTTATTTTTCAAACCGTTATTATTGCCCATAGTTACCAAACAATACTTGTATATTACAAACACATAGAATACGAACGATAATTTTTAATCAAACAATTAATAATTATTGTTTTGTTTCCACAAGTGTCATATTTAACGTATTTACATTTCGAGGTTATATTGTATTTCAAAGTATGTCGCGAGTTGTACGAAAAAAAAAAACCGTTGTAAATATAGAAAAACAACACGCACTGGAGACGACGACGAGTTATAATAATATAGGGGAACCCGAGGTACAATGAGGAACTTAATGTTCAAAATCAATTGTACAGTATTTTACTTGCTGTAAAGCTCCCGATCCTCAGCAAATAAACGCTTAGCAATATAATTGGAAATCCATTTCAGTGATCAAATAAATAACTCAAACATATTGTATTACTTTGTTTTTAATAAAAAAATAATTCGGCCTATTCTACCCTTACCACTGGGAATAGGGTATGCACATTAACTTTTAAATATATTACATTTTTGAAATAAATTTTTTTTATTTTCATTCATTAATAAATTAATTGACTAATTAAAGTTACGTTATTTTTTCCACGATATTCAAATGTATGCTTCATCATCGCTGCTAACTCCTGCGCAGATGTTGAGTGCCCACTTTCTACATAAATTATCTATAGTAGGTCCACCAAATAAATAATCAAAATCGCGGTTCGAACCCATTCCGACCGTACTGCGGCTTCAATCAACGAATCAGATGACACGACTGTCCGACCGTGACGCGTGATTATCTTTTTCTTTTCGTACCTTAATAATTTAAAAACATACAAAATAACGGGACGGAATGTGGTATGCATTCGTAATAGAGCCCATACTGTCCGATTCCGTTACGCCCCAAAATAGTATTTACATCGAAACTATACGTTTTTATCACAAAAATGCAAATTAGGGGTATTCGATATTAAACGAGAATAACAATTTAACATTAGTGCGTTTTCCGATTTATCTATAACAATACTTAGGTAATCGAAAATTGATTGACTGCCGACTGTTTTTGATTGTGATAACATTATCTATGGCTACATGGAGGAAAAACATTATTATTTTCGCCGATAATAAGCGACGGGCAACGTTGCGTATGGAAATAATCTGTGACCCCGTTGAGCCCCACGTCTCCATTCTACCCCGGATTCCCCTACGGTAGTAGTCGGTTTTTTTTTTTTTACAATTATTATGTAAAATAATACGGGACCGTTTGATAAAAAAGAAAATGATATGCATACAAAAATTATAACGATATAATCACATAGACGTATAAAATGCAAACGATAATATTACGGATTTGATTAAATCTGCAGCAGCTGTGAATAAAATAATATTACATTATAGTTTGATAACAATCGGTATTTTTCGATTGTGCACAATGAAACGATAATTATTATCCTAGTAGTATTTTTCTATATCGATTCGAATAATGTGGGAATTGATGCGCAACGTCGTTTCTTTACTCTTTTAAAAATCTATTTCATTTCTATCGCTTTCAATAGATTTTTTTTTTTTATTTCGCTTTTGAAACACATAAATATTTAGTACGCAATATTTCATCATTATCACCCACCCGCTCCCCATAGTGAGTTTATTAATTATTAATAACAAATATACGGTACAGACATTAACAACGGCATACTTAGGTCTCTTTTACGGGAGGAGGGGGGCGAAATATATTTTCACCCATTCTTAAGATAGACAATTTCTTAAAAATTTAAAAATATAACAATGCACACATATTATCACATATAATTATGTTTTATTTATTATAACGAGATTGTTTTAACCGTGGTTTGTTTTTTACGAAATTATAATTATTTACGTTCGCTTATGTTTTTTTTTTATTATTATTATTTAACTGCGTATTAAAAGCCGTACGTTTTTTGAAGTAAATACCAAAAACGATTTATTGTATTCTCAAACAACTTATTTAGTTTAACGTTTGTAGGTTTTCGTGTTTTTTGAAGTTTTTTTTTTTTTAACGATAAAATAATAAAAATATAGCAGCACACAAATAATCGCAAAACACGGAATTTTATCAATTTCAACCAAATTGCAAGTACCTACATAGGTATATACTTTACGGACAGGTGATAAATTTCCATATTAACCCCAAACAAATGTAACACGTAATAATATGTATCTACGAGGTACCTTAGTACCTATCGTCACCTCGTTATTCTCGTCACAGTCCAATGTCGAAAATGAATTCAGTGATATATAGACAAAACAAAATAAAACATGCTATAATTTATAGCAACGCCTGCAATTGATTTGCGTCGGAAAAATACGGTCAAGGTGGAATCCCAAGCTGTGCACCATCAGCGGGCCTATATAGTATTATATTATTATAATAATAAATACATTGAACCGATTGCCAAAAGAAAAAAAAAATGAAAAAACGATTTACTTTCCGAGTAGGGCGAGTATAGGTTTTTTGAAAAATAGTCGAGTACGCGCATATTGTCGTATAATTGAAATTGCTCGAGTACTTGAAAATTATTATATTAATGTCTAACTAATTTCTGTAAAAATTTCAGGTCTCGATACGAATCACAACAAAAATTACAAAATCGAAAATAATGAAATTGTCATTCATTTTTCTTAGTTTTTCCAGTTATTAAAAAAAACAACAAAAAAAAAAATTCAAAAAAATTAATAGTTGATACATCGAGCCCCATCGGAGCCAGAAAAATACAAATTGATACAAAAAAAAAAAAAACTATTTTGTCGTTCTTTGATTGGTGCGATATTTCTGATAGAAAAGTTGGTAAAAAAATGAATGTTTTTATAATAGGTACTAAAAACAAAACAATAACAATCATTTTTTGTACTTTGTGTTACTTTATTTCTTTTAAACAAAACAGTCGAGTGAGTGATTTTGTACTCGCCATTACAAGTACAAAAAAAAATTGTCGAATTTGCAGATCACTTTTCCAAATTCGAGTATTCACCCAACTCTACAGTTACTTTGTTTATTTTCACGTTAGTATATTTGAATTTCGGTTTTTTTTTTTTTTTACACGTACAACTGCAATATACATAATACATAATAATGTATTCTTGAAATACATCCAGTAATACCCATGGTTTATTCACAACAGACTTCCATACTGCACGATGGCGTGAAACTTGTGTAAAATACACGGACGCGATTTGAAAACACGAACGTTTCTATCCAATCGTATCAAACACGTACCTATCCGACATGTTTGACAGCCGACAAAAAAAAAATATCCTGTACAAATTACATAAAAATAAAACACGTTATTGAAAATAAACATAATATTGTATTATGTAGGTAGTTGTGCTTACGGTTCAATTGAATTGCAAATTTCAATGATACGATCAGTTTTGTCTGTTTTTTTTTCGCACAATAACTGAAATCAAAGGACCATAATATTATAACACCATCACAATTTCCTTCTAGCAAAAAAAAAAAAAGAAAAAATTATATTTTCAATTCTCCGACTGTTTTCTATATAGGTAAGCGATCTAGATATTATATATTCTTTATAAACAGGAAAAACGTTATCTGAGCCGTTAATCCAGGACGAATAAGTAAAATATCATCTAGATAAATCTTTTCGAATCGCAATCAATAAATTTAATAGAAACATCAGATAAAATATTTAATTCACATTAATATACGGTTTATGAATTAGTAATCAATTCAACATCAGTTATTGCCAATAACTTATTTCCAAAGGGGACACCTGGGTAAGTTGGCGACTTTGGTAAACGTATTTTTAAGGTATTAAATACAAAGATAAAAATGTAAATCACATACATTGTGAAACTTCATAACATTGTTACGGGCCGAAAAGATCGGAAATTAATTTTCGAATTATGGCGATTGTAACGGAAACTCGTAAACCAAACCGTATTGTTTTCTTTATTAAAATCAATTATACAATCAATAAAATAGCTGTTCCTATCATAATTTTATTGTTTTCTTTCAACATTGAATATAATATTAAATAACCACTACGAGTTATAATATAAACCCGTTATCTTACCTAGCTGTATACTGCTATAGTCGACTTACCCTTCGGCAGTGCTTCCCAAACGTTTTCGACTCGAGGCTCCCTTTTTAAACTAATGTTTTCTCAGGACGCCTTTGCAATTCCTCGCCATCAAAAACCTTCACTGATCGGAGTAATGTTTTAGTCACGTTATTAAACCCATTGCACAGCCAAAGGTAAACTTTTTTTTAATTTTAAAGTAAAAGTATTGGGAATCTAGACATTGGTTAAAAACAATGAAGTACTACTTGGTCATCCACATCTTTCAATGTACAGAGCGAATAATTTGGAGCATTTTAAATAGCCGGAAGAGTTTTTTTCGAGAAAAATTTAAAAAAAAAAGGACGCCGGTCTCACAGTTTCCGCTATCATTTGAGTTTTAAATTCATTTTTAGACCAGTAAATATTCAAATTAGTTCCGTGGCGCCCCTGTACAGACACCAAGGCACCCCGGGGCGTCGCGGCGTACGCATTGGGAACCGCTGCCCTACGACGGGTTTCCCTGTCTGTATCTTTTATATTCATCTGTATAGATAATAATCTGAGTAAAAAAAAAATATATTTTCTAGATATTTTACAATTTGTCTTTATACAACGCTGTGCGCGTAATTTATCACCATGAACACATTATACGTGGTTACGTTTTCAATCAGTGTTAGATTTCATACTTAAATATTATATACTATACGTAGGTAATATGTATTTATTTTCAAAATAAAAAAAAAAAATAATAATATTTTATACTTAATAGTTACACAACGACGCACATATTATTACACGTAGTTTTGTTGACGTTTAAATCAATACCCAAATACACTCGAATTATTCATTTAAACTGTTTGTAATTCGACAGTTGTCATCGTTTAATCAGTCCGACATGTTGTGTACCATATGTGAAATTACCAAACGCAATGTCAATATTTCACTTCACGTTAAAATTTTCGAAATGCCAGTAATGTTTTCTTTTCTTTTTTTTTCAATGTTTATAACAAAGAAATTAAATATTTTTTGTGCGAATTAAAATGTCGCAGTACGATTTACTCGTTGAACACTTTAAATGGATACCCGGTACATATACTATATATACAAGTTATTTATTACAATCAATTACAATAAATAAATAGTTTTTTGTTTTTAAACAAACTAGTTCATTTTGAATCCGATTTTCAAACATTTTTTCTAGTGATTTTTCTTCGACACGTTATACGTTGATTACGGACGAAAGTACCGACATCTCTGTTAAATTTAAGGCTGGGCGCTAACGAGGAAAAAAGTTCGGTTAATTTTAACTTTTCACGCAGCTTTTATCGTTTGATTTCGTTTCTTATTCAATAGGTTCTTATCGTGTTACTGTAAATGATGTGCGCAGGTCACAATAATAACATACAGTTTACACCTAACTATGGAAATTGTTTACGTTTATTTTTCCTGGGAATTTTTATTTTAGAACAAAAAAAATTAAATAAATTATAATATAATTTACGAACTTTTTTAAAACGCTATTTAGTTACACTGTCGCGTCGTCGTCGTCGTCGTCAAACCCGGAACCGAAAACGAAATGCGACAAAAGTTTTTAATATTATTTATTAACATGTTTCTCGCGTTCCATTTAAAATGTGTGTTCCATTTCCCCCCCCCCCGTTCTCAGAGTCTCGTTTATATTTCGATTTTGTGCGATACGGATTTATTTTAGGTTTCAGTTTTCAGCTATAAATAATATAATATCGTATTATACCGTATCACTGTTACGGATATTGACACGTTTTCCATTTGGGTACATATTTTATTATATTATTAAATGGGTTGCTGGGTATAGTTAGGTAACGGATATAAAACGATTTCTCGAAAGTTCAGTCAAATTCAACGCGTACACAATAATATCATAGTATTTATTTGATTAAAGAAGCCTCTGGTTTTCTAATAAATTTTAATGATATAATAGCAATCATAAACATATACAAACGCGTTATATTCGCGGGATGAAATTAAATACGAAAATAAGCGTACTTATACCAAACCCGAATAACATTTTTGATAAATTAAAAAAAAAAAAAAACCCATTAATTTTATAGTATGCTTTATAACAGTAATATCAGACCGTAACACGGGAAATATCGTACATTTTTAAAAAAACGTGTGCGTAACATAATATTATATTATTACGTAGGTACCGAAAAACTAAAAAAAAATCTCACAAATATTTTATACATAAATAATATATACGTTAAAAAAAAATTGTGAACTACATAATTGAACCGGGAAAAAAGAAAATTCGAATAAAACGTAAACAGTCTGTAAATCTGAGTTTACAAATATATTTTAGCAAAGTTCGTGTAAACCGGAGCCGGAAATATAGAAGAGCGAATACGTATGACAAACTTACAACCTCTCCCCCCCCCAACCGAACCGGGACAATAGCACTCACTACCGAGTAGGCAGTTGTTCAACGACAATTTAATTTCATAGTTGGCGAAGCTGATAATTTCTTCGGTTTATTATTTTTATTTTTTTTTATTTTTTATTTTTTTTTTTTTGTATTTTATAAGGGTTTTCCGATGTTTGTAAATTCGATGAATGTAATGTACTTTCCGTAGTTGGCAAATTGTCAACCGCGTTCCACAGTCGATTTTCGTTAGTGCGCCGCCGAACCACGCCTGAATTTATTACTGCACGAAAAAAACAAGTTCGCAGTGATACAGTGACTGTTTGATGGGAATTATATACTATTATGGTCGATCAGAATTATGCAATTCTCTGTCCTCTCGAGTGATATAATACAATAATTAATTAAACCGCATAATCCCGGAGCGCTCGTGAGAGGACACAAATTATACATTTTAAACCCAAAAACAGTGTCTTCAAACCGAATCACTCGTTCGAGTTGCCGGTCCGATGGCGGTATCCACAGTTTACGAGGAGTTTAGTAAGACCTACGTGTTACCTTCCGCGTTTAAAGGATTGCGTATAGTCGATTTTCTCGGCGTTTTTGGAAATATTTAATTTTATTAATTATTCAAATAACTGACTTGTAAATACATTTACAAGTTGTCCCGTGCACCAAGTATTTATTGTTTGATCATGATACTAACAAAAATGTGTAAGAAAACCTTTATCACGTGGTCAAAAATTACTAGGACTGTGCACTTATGGTATTATGACTCCCAAATTTTCACTATGAAACAAAGGAAATTTCCGCTTTGCAACGTTGGTTTTAGTTTTTCAATGGCACTATTACAAAATGAGTTTATTCGAGTTTAAACAACTTGAATTTATCAGAATTTTAAACAATTATAAACTTTGTTTATATATTATGTTAAGTCTATAGCCCGAATGGTCTTTTCCCACGCAAAACGTTTTTACTGTAGAATTACTAGTGGTCGTGTTATTGTTTGAAGGTTTCGAACTTTTACGCTTTATACTTTTGGCGTACCTAGACGTAAAGACAGCGATAGTATAAAATAAATAATAAAGCTTTTATTTATTTTCATACGCAAGATTTATTCAAAAATAAATGTTAAAAATTATAAAAAAAAAGTCCACCGCATTGCTTCAAAATATTGAATTCAGCGCCGTATATAATACAAATAATGCGTTTTGCAAAACGTCACGACGTGATGATGGCAACAGAAACAAAATACTGTACAATGACTGATGCAGGTTTTCATTCGATCGCGGTTGAACCGTGACGGTTTAAAATGTTTTAGTTTATTGTAATTTGTAATGCCTTACGTTAGAAATTCTGAAAAATGACGTGCTGAAACGGCTGCAGTAACGATTATCGTACAATAAGATACAGAGAAAAATGTTGTGAATGTACCGCATTTATATTTTATCCACCCTATCCGCAGGAGGATTGACCGGCCTTTTATCGACTAAAATAAACCGAACGCCCGTCATTAATTTTAAAACACAATACCATAAAGTATAACATCACAGTTAACATATTCTTCTTTCCGTATTTTTTTTTTTCTTTCGGTAAAACCACACTAATACTTTATCCCTCGTTTTGTATCCAAAATGTAATGACACGAAATACCATCATAGTATTATGGATTACAAAATATACTTTTATTCCGGTCTAAAAATTTGTACTTATTTACGAACATCAGTATTAATGTGATTAGTTTTTGCACAAGTATACGTTTACACACTACTTTCGTATTTACTAGAAGCAACGGTTTTAGACATATATTTAAAATCCACGTGTGCACGAAGTTTGTGTATTTAAAATACATGTGTATCGATTGGCGTGTTATAAACTATATTTTAAATACGCGTACAGAATCTTCGGAAAATTTGTCGGTCCGACCACCCGAGTTTTACTACTCATTCAATAGACTTTCAATGACCAACCAGA